TCTAGTATAGTCTTTTCCTTCCCTGGTTCTAGAATAACACAATGGCATGGTTTGATTTGCATCCATATTCTCATGTTTTTCTTTAGGTACTCGGTAGATCCTCAAACTGGTTAACTATGTCCTTCAGGTTTTGTTTCCTTTTTAAAAAAAATGAAAATGTTTTTTAATGGTCTTTCATAGTTTTTTTTTTTGACAACTGGTTTGTCCAAATTATTTTATAATTTTATGTTTATTTTATCTTCATGCACAACTTTTTTATAACTTTTCATTTGAGTTTCTTCATCTTCATCCTCAAATCACTCTGAGTTATTCATTCATGCTACTATATGCTAATTCCTATAAACTCTTATGTACCCTTTGAACATTGGCTTTTAGAATTTTGTTCTTATTTCATCAATACAGTTTTTTTTCTCTCCAAAGAAATCAGTCAGTTTTTGCTGTTGTTGTTGTGTTTTAAAGTTTTGTCCCTCTCTTCAATCTGATTCCTCTGGATCCTTTGGTTTTTTGTTTTGTTTGGTTGTGTGTGTGTGTGTGTGTGTGTGTGCACGCACGTACATGTGCAATTTTAATATTTTCTTCTACCTGGCAATTGATCATTAGTTTTTCCTATCATTTCAGAAGGATTTAGGTATACACCACTGCCAAGTAAGCACTTCCTTCCTTTCTTCCTTCCTTCCTTCCTTCCTTCCTTCCTTCCTTCCTTCCTTCCTTCTTTCTTTCCTTCCTTCTTTCTGTCTTTTTTGTCTGTAGGGTGGTCTGCTTGACCACTTCGTTGGGGATGCCATGTCACCATTTGGAGTGTTTCTTCTTGGGTTGCTCTGGTTCTCAAATGATGATTTGCCTAGTATCCCATGATGAGGGGAAAGAACCTTGAAACTTTAGAACAAATGTGTAATCTTTTTTCTTGGTCAGGCTTTCTCATTGTCTGTCCATCCTCATGCATACTGTTTTAGCTTTCCTATGGAAATCTTCAGTCCTCTATCAAATTATGATACAAACATTGATGATTGTTTTTTCCTTTCACAGATTGTCACTCATTTAATACATTTAACTTAGAGTCATGTAGGAATTTTGATTTTAAAATTTGACTTGGGTTTTAGGAGATATTGAGTTAGATAAATAAATGTCTTCTGATTTGCAATCTGACTTGTGAATCTTTATTCTATGTTCATTATCTCAATGGAACTTCATTTCAAAGCCTTATCATTACTGTCAAACAGTGTACCGAGGAAGCCTAGTTAAAACCAGTGTTTAATTGAAGGCATCATCAGCTGCATTCAAAGGGCCAATGACAGCAGAAGTGTTCAGAATTGGATCATTGTCACAATTGAGGCTGGAGAATGACTTACCTATAATAGTCTTTCCTTTGAGTTCTACAGTCTGAGTTTGACAAACTATAGGTGACCAGAGAAGAGAGATATTATTGGCTGAAGTACAAAATAAAGGGAGAAGATAAGCAGCTCCATGACTTGTTTCTATACTTTAGGTAGAGACTTCTCTGATGATTCAACTGAACTTTGAATTCAATTTACATGAATTCATAGATTTAAGTTGTTAAGTCCATGTTTAAATGCTTTGGAAAAGCAGAGATATTAGAAATCCTAAGTATTAAATAGACTGTTATGTGCACATAGTTTTAGATGTCAGAAGGATAATGGTAAAATCGGGTGAGGGCCAAATGCATCTTAATTCCTGTAACAAGAGCCTACTAAAGGGTTAATAGGGAAAAATGAAGATAAAATAAATGCATGAGATGGGTGAACAATATTAACTTAAAAATTTTTTCCAGGTGTAGAGTGAATATCAGGTTTGAAAAATTCCATTTTTCCTTAGAAGACCTATAATTTAATATTAATTTATAATATAATCACTATTGGGAATTAACTTTTTACAGTTACAAGCTGTTTGAAAATATATGGACAGGACTCATTCATCTACTGTGACTTAAGTTTGTGACCTTCCTGATACTTCTGTTTAACTCAGTTTAACATTGTAATCACCAAAACCAGGCTGCTGCTTATGTACAAGGTATTATTTTGAGAATAAATCTAAACCAAAACAATATTCACAGCTTTGTGCATTGGTCTGTGATGGAAATTTTGCTTTTCAATGTAGTTTCCTGTGGAATAATTTTACCCATTGTGTGATGAACTATGTACCTTTCCTTTTTGTGGATTACCCTTACTGGTTATATAATATCACAGGTAAGCCAGCCATAAAAAATGTGTGTGTGTGTGTGTGTTAGGATAATTTACATTTGGCTCCTTCTAAACAATCATTTAGGAATGAGATTCAGTTATAATTTAAACTGATATAATTATGTTTTTTTTTTAATTTGTATGTTCACTGCATCCTTAAAAGTTGTTTATTCAGTGGAAAAACAATATATGCATGGTAGAATCATGGTAACTATAGTTTAAGTACTTGGGTATGCATTGGAGGGCATTTCTCATTTCTACAGTTTAAGAGGTCTTAAGTCTTGCTACATACCTGGTAATGGTTAATGATACTATAATGTGTAAAGTAAGAAAAAAGAAAAATATGACCTTTACTTAGAAAGACTACAGTGTAGATGAAGAGGCACATGGAGACCTATTTAAAACATTTTATGGTGTATACAGTTCATAAAAACATGATTGTGTTTTGTAGTGACTTTGTCTGATAGCTTTAGAACTCCTTTGAAGTCAGTGGGGAAGTATTTCCTGTGAAGCTCAGAACCTACCACATGTCTTGCGCAGAGCACGCTCTGCATCCTACTGCATTTTCCTCCCAGTCATCTGCTTGTCCCCACCACATTTACACTGAAAACAGTCCTTATTAAATGGCTAATACCATGTAAGGAATGTGATATAGAAAGAGCAATAATGAAGAATAAGAGCTTGCTAGCAAATAATTAGCTTTCAACTAATTAAGCATTAAAGTGACTGTCCCTGGATTTTATAAGGAGGCTTTGAGTGCCTTTTAATGAATTTTAATTCATTTAACTCCTTTCTCCATAACACAGTGTTTACTCTTAAAAACTTTTCCCATATAACTTTGACTTCTTTCCACAGAGAAAATACAGGAAATGAAGACTCTCCATAAATATAGATGCTATTTAGAAGACAATCACAAGGAGAGTGAAGTTGCAAATTAAATACCTTCATTTTCCTCATAGCATATAAAAGGAAGAGAGATGCCAACAACAAGGACAAGACTTGTCATTTTGGAAGTAATGGTCTTATGACTGGAAAAATTTAAAGATTAGCAAAGGCAAGATGACAGCTTTTATAAAAGGAAAATCAGAGCTTGAATTAGAGTGTTACATTTATAAATGATCTTCCAGCAAGATCTGTGGCAGGTATTATTCATTGCAGGAAACCAGAAGGTATAATATGCTGGAATAAGGATCACATTTTTCTCTTTGAGGTGATTTATATTTAAATGAGTTCTCTATAATCCTTTAAACTGAAGTGCAAATTGGTTATCAAAGTCTTTAGCTGTAAGGGTTGTTTTACATAATAATGAATTCTACAGAAGTTGCTCAAAGGAAAATATTGACTTAGGCAACATCACAGGATTTTTCAGTTACAGCAACTTTTAAGATTGTGGTCATAGACACTGCATCAAAACTTTCTAAAACTCTAAATTTCTTTACTGAAAAGTGTAGGCCATGTAGTGTTTCTCAGTATAAAATGTATGCTATTTAAAATTTAAGGAAAAGTGGTTCAATTTAAATCTATCATGTCTCGTTCATATTAACATGCTGGGGGAGATTTACTGACTCTTTTTTAATGAGATGTTTTAAAATATAGGTTGAATAACTTTATTTTGAAGTGTTTAAGATTAGAAATGTTCCATAGCTCCACCAGGAGACGGGCCCCAGTTCTGGTCGGGGGCAACAGGCAGGCAGGCGCTTGCTCGCTTCAGTTTAAGAGCCATGAATGGGTTCCAGAGAGGAGTCCTATGTTGCAAGCAGGAGCCTCAGCCACAGCTCTAGCTACCAAAAGTACTCAATAGTAACATAGCAGCGTCACTCCAGAAAAGACAGAAATGAAGCTGTGAAGGAAAGCTAAGTCATGATCTTAAGACCAAGGTAGTTCACAAACCACTGTTTTGGCTACAGAAATAAATTTAAGCTTCTGAACTTTTGCTTGCATTGAAAGAAGTTTGGACTTAACAATAATTTTATAAAACTATGTTGTTCATTTATTTTATTTTAAATAGGTGAAATTCCTAGTAAGTTAAGTTTTGTTTGAATCTCAGTACCACATGCATACAAGTAGGGTTATTAACACAATCCTTGGAGCAAGGACTAGGTTTAGAAGAGACACACATCATATATACCTAATGGGTCTCTGTCTAATCCCCACGCCAGCTCTATAGTAGAAGCCTGTGAGTTAGCTCTAGCATAGTGACCTTGAAAAATGCAAGGCTCAAAATGTAGACCTTCTCTGAATTCATCCCTAATCTCATTTTATGTGGTGTTGGAACATTATACAAGAAAAAGTGTAATAACTGTAAAGACTGTGGTTGGGAACCATCTATAATCCAGAAAGAGCCCACTAAGAGATAGACTTGCTGCATGCTTCTGGGTTTCTGAATTTGAGTAAGACATTCCACAAGGTGAAAAGTAAGACAAAGTTTGATCTCTGCATTAATAGTCTATAGATTTTTATGTATTATACTGTGGTTAATTTAATGAAATGTGAATATGGTGTTATCTTGATAACACTATCCATTACTTGTCTTTATTTTCTTACAATTAATACTGAGACAGAAACTTTCAATTGTGATTCAACTACTATTGATTTTTCGATCAAAATACTATCCTTTTAAAACCTTAATCTTAGAAGTATTGTTCATGTTTTCCCAAGAAACCCCATTCCATCAGTGCAGTTATTGGCTTAAAAGAGTTGTTTGTGGCTTTGTAACTTAGTGGTTGGCCTGCTTTCTACAGTTGATGGTGTTGGGTTAATTCCAACCTGTCTGTCTGTGGTCACAGGTTCATTTCCACTTACCTGCCTCTGCTTTCTGCTGCTTCTCAATCTTCTCCAGGCGCCCTAGCAAGGAGTCAATTTTAGTTTTGATCTGGGTTAATTCTTTCTTGATTGTCTGTAACTCATCTGATTTCACTGGAAGAGGAAAAGTGGAAAGAAAACAAGACATCAAATGGACCACTTGGAACACAATTTACGGTGCAGTACTTCTCAAGAGTGTCTTATAAGATTTCCAGTGAATCATCAGTTTCCTGTTACAGCTAGTTATCCTGAAATATTGCATGCTTTTGCTAATTAGAAATGAGGACACTTACTGACATTAGAATCTGATAATCTTCTAACTCAAGGTCACATAAATGGGTTTTTGATCCTACTGCACGTACTGGCTTTGTGGGAGCCTAGGCAGTTTAGATGCTCACCTTACTAGACCTGGATGGAGGTGGGTAGTCCTTGGACTTCCCACAGGGCAGGGACCCTGATTCATCTTTGGGCTGACGAGGGAGGGGGACTTGTTTAGGGGAAGGGAAGGGAAATGGGAGGCAATGGCTGGAAAGAGACAGAAATCTTCAATAAATAAATAAATTTAAAAAAATTAGAAAGAATCTGAAAACATTTTCAAAAGAATAAGGTCAGGTCTTGATTTTTTTAAATCAGGAAAGAGAATAAACCTTCAATGTAAAACTGACATGGCTTAAGGAATAGTGATACCTGGGTTAATACTACTTTGAATCCTGTGTTGAAAATATTGATTTTGAGACAGGGCTTCAATAAGTAGTTCATGATAGACAAAATGCTCCTGCATAGCCCACCACTCATGGATAGCCATTAGTGATACCCTGCATAGCCTACTACTCATGGATAGACATTAGTGATATTTTCAAGCCAGTTGTTTGAGCATTGATGGAAACAAAAATCTAAGATTTGTTCTTGAGAGAATAAGCTATTGCTTGAGTTCTTCCTAAAAGTAAAGTGACAGCGTGTACATAGGAATCCTTATGCCATGGGGCAGGTGGAAAGGAAGCACACTGGTAGTCCTCCCATTTATTATTCATTTATTTATATATGTTGAAATAACTTATCACTATGTTGCTCAAGCTACTCTTGAACTCACCATCTTCCTGCCTCGTGAGTGCAGGAATTACAGACATAAGATACCATTTATCACTGCACCGGTATATGTATAGCAATATGTTCCGTTCTAGCTTTTGGATAGCCAATCTGGTTTCTAAAGAGAAAATGGGGGCTGATATGAACAGCAACTTTTCATTTTGTTAAGTAGTGTTGCTACAATCCACAAATATGTGTTGGAGATTAAACTCAGTGTTGGAGTGCTTGCCTAGCAAGCAAATGACCTCAAATTTGGTCCCCAGAAATGGAGAAGAATAAGTTGAAAGCAGGTGTGGAAGACAACATATATTTTATTACCTCCTTGCCAATAAAATTTATCATTTATTTTTAAGAGGCTTAACTAAAGGAGAATATCATACTTAAATAATAATTATTTTTATAAGAGGAAAGGTTTAGGAAATGCCATGTACTGGGCATGACACAGCATGTGCAATCAAGATTTCACAAACACTGTACTTGCCTTCATTGAGCCCATATGAGCCTGGGCCTGTCAACAATCAGTCAGAGACTGAGATGGACCCTACTCCTGCCTGTTGAGTTATAGGCTATTAGACGTGGTGGACATTGTCGTCAGTTCTGTACCCACTTGTAAATTTCACACAATGAATCTATGGTTACACAGAACTCCCTGGTTAAGTGCAATGGCCTACTAAACAAAACTAACTAGCATGAATGTGGACAGAGATGAAGCAAAGGTAGGTTAATGGGAGTGGGAGGAAATGAAGAGAGGATGGGGAATGAGAGTAATCAGAAGGCACAAAATTGTTAAAGAACAATTTTCATAATAAAAGTTAAGGATACATAATATGATAACTTCTTTGAGAAATTTAATCCACTGTCCTTATTTTTCTTATCTGAAAACCACAAGTAGTTTTGCTGTGGGAGAGATGATAAAGTCAAACAGACTCAGGAGTCTGTGAGCGTCATTAGGTAGGCTTTGTGTACCAAGGCCTCAATGAAGAGCTGTCCTGGCTATATAGGGTACACATACATCATTATTTTTGCAATTTTGTTTATTTTCACTCCAGTTTAGTTATTATCCAGAAATATGGGAAAATGTGTTGTTTGACATTCTTGTTTTCAAAACTTTTGAAAAAGTATTAAAATAAAATGAAATATATCTAAGCTTATGTATTTGTCAATTAAGATATATAAATAGTATAGAATTTATAATGCAATTTGGTCTCAAAAGATAGAGGTTTTTTTCTCTCCAAAAGGAAAACCTTCCTCATTATTATATCATATTTTAAAGTAATTATTTTTCTTTCTAATACAAAGTACTTTGTTAGATAAAAACTGCAGGAAACTAGAGTCTCCTGCAATTCTGTGTTAGAATTGCCCAACTAAAAGGACTTTAAACAGTGACTCATTCTGAATGTCACTTATTTCAAACATCAAAGAATCATTGTTGAAGTGCAGCTAAATTTGAAAACCATCATCTGTCACTATAAGAAACTGATTCTGCTTTGAAGAATGATACTTATTTCCTATCATGGAAGCATATCATGTAGTTTTACTTAAACCTATCAGATTTAATAGAAAATATTTTATCAGGTAGCATGTTTCAGTGATGTAAAATGGAACTGTGTCTAGAAACTAACAGACTTTCTCATGGAATAAGTCAATCCTTAGCTGTAGCCAATTACCTTCAATTTATTTATCATATTAGAAAACATAAATTGATAAGTCACAACAGCTTACATTATTAAACCTGCATTATAATGCACCTAGAAATTGGATTTACAAGATAAGAGAACCTGTAAGTATCCAGGAAGATAATGTTGGAGGTTTAAACTTGCACCAATGTTTTGTAAGACCGGCAAAGGATTGTATAATATTCTATTCTAATTAACATTATTGAAGCTTATAAGGGTATACATTCCATTAAAACAAGGAAACGTGCAAAGTCCTATCTTCTTTTAGGGCCCCAACAAGTAATAATGAAATGACTCTCTGGCTGCCTGTCACCTCCAGACATGAAGATATGAAGTGCTAACAGGGGTCCTAAGAGCAGACTCGGCTTACAGTGCTGTCTGCCTCTCCCAGAGTCATGGGAGACAACTCCTCATCTTAGTGCTATATGTGGAGGAAGGGTTGTCCATGCCAAAACTGTGAGCCCCAGTCCATCAGAGTCAATGCCTGAACCCAGATGGTACTGGTTTTGTGCTCTCATGGCTCCTTCCTACAAGGTAGTCCCCAAGGGGCCACCTCTGCTCCTACTGTTGCTCTAACTCCTGTCTGACTTGCTTTCTACCCCTTTCTATCTGCTAACATTTTCTCTGCAACCTATTTTCCCACTGTAAAATGTTAGTTAATTCATTGATACAGGCACTCTATTGTGACTCTGTATTTCTAGACTATGAATTTTAGAAGTTGGCAATGTAAGTAATTGATTTTTTTCCCAAAAACTACATGTTAAATAAATAACACAAATGTAGGTCCAATATATCTGTCTTCACTTTTATTTACTCTTATTTGGCCTTTTTTCCCCACTCAACCTAGCTTTCTTGTAAATAGTTCTTAAAGTAATATTTATAATTCATCAGTCTTGTGCTAAACTGAAAATTTCCAGAATCTTTCCTCTTTCTATGGCAAGAAAGATAAGAAACACATCCCTGAAGAGTGTTCTTATATAATCCCAAATGTCTTCCATATGATTTGAGTTAGAATGCATGTGACCCAGTTTGTGGCATTATTTTGGCAGACTTCATAACCTTTAGGAGATGAGATATGATTGGCAGAATCAATTCCTGGGCATGACCCTCATGAGTATGTTTGTGTTGTCCACCTCCCGTGTTGACCTCTTGTTTCTTGGTCATCTATGGCTTGACAAGTTGTTCTCTGCCATATGCTCACCTACCATGATGTTCTGTGTCAATACATGGTACCAAATAATGCAGAATCAAGGAGAACCCTCTGAAACCTCGAGTGAAAATCAATCTTCCATGCTTTAAGTTGTTTCTGTAATATGGCCACAGTACTTGAAAGTAATTAAGGTATAAACACAATGTTCACAATGGTATCTAGGATTTTCTGAAAGTAATTGAGGTATAAACACAATGTTCAGAATGGTCTCTAGGATTTCCTGAAAGTGCATTTTCACCTTTCTACTCCACCTCTTGTTTAAGTCAACCCATCTTTTATAGAACAGCTTCCTGTTTAAAAAAAAAGGAGTTTTCTTCAAATCTGTGTGCTTTGGGGAAATGAAGTGTCTCTATCTGTGTATTTCAAGCCTCTACTTTGGCAGAAATAAGTACAGCTACTTAGTGCCATGCTCAGAGAAACAATAGGACCAATAGGTGGTAAAAGAAGAGCTTACTGTGATTCGTGCTATGCACTGTACTAGAGAAACATGTTTCTCTAATCAAAGGTCTTTTCTGTTTCCAAATGTGTGTCTCAAAATTTTACCAAGATTTTAGGGTTTAGACTTGTTTGCGTATGAATTCCTCCTTTACAAACCCACTGAAGAGTGAGAATTTCACCTGCAATCTCTTTAATGGTGCCTCACATTTACTGCAGCACTTTCACTGATTATCGACTTCTGTTTGCATGTCTGTACTCCATACTAAGTGATCCGTTTCTTGCATGAATACCTCTTGATTAGACACTCAGGAAATTCAACAGCCCCAATTTTCAGTTTTTTTTGTATGTTTTGATAGTCTCCCTCATCCTTCTACTGATTGCTTAGGTTCCTGCCTTGAAAGTTTAGGAATTAAATCAGTGCTGTTTATTTAAAAATGACTAAAACAGCTTAAAAAGATGTTAAATCAGGTAAACTGCCAAAGAAAAGGTCTTGTCACAATAAGCCAGGTTCTGAAAACTTAGGTGTAAATTTCAGGGTAGTTGCGGGACAGGGATAAATTAAAAACTGTACCCATCCTAAGGATCTACAACTAAAGTGCATCTGTGGAAAGAGTGCCTTCAATTGTTTCTTCTCTGTTACCACATTAACAATAGAACATTATTCAGTGTTTGGACACAATAAACAATAACTATTAGAAAATTTG